TTGGGGCTGGGGCTGAGTTTTCTTCTAACTCCCCCCATAGGAAGCATTCCAGTAATAATCCAGCCATTGTATATAGCACATTATAATTTGCAGCTGCATATGCACTATCCTTTTAAAGCCCTTACCCCCTGAGGTATATGAACATTATCATCATTTTACTGATGAGGAAACTAAGAGTCAAAGCAATTATATGATTTGCCCATGAATTATGCAGTTTGTAAATGGTGCAGTGGTCTTATATCATAATCACTCAATATTATAGTGGAGACATAGCTTTTGTGCATCTAATTTTATATTCTTTTCAATAGGATAATAGTGGAGTTGTAGTCATTTATAATTACTGTAAGGGAAGCTTGGCATTCTAAGAGAGCAGTTTGAAGTTCTGAAAATTTTTTTTGTATTCCTATTATATATTCTTGGAGGATATACACAAGAAATGTATAAAATTATTATATATGTATATAGTTTCAAAAGCCTGATGATTACCATTTCTGAATCTTGGTTTCTTTTAAATTCCATTAACCATTCAAAGACTGCATTGAGCTTCAGCCATCCAGAGTCAGGCTGCTGGAAACCTTCATAAAGACACCCAACATTTACATGTAAAATAGCCGAGCAAATAAATGTGTTATTCCCACAGACTTTGCAGAAGCATTGATTTAGTCAGTTTGGACAACTTCAGATGGAAATGTGTAATTTCATTGGAAGGATGGATAATACATTTCAGACATTTCTTATAGTTCATTTTGAAATATTTTTTATTAGTTAATTGCTGAAGTTTACCACTTCAAATATGTATTCTGTCACTGGAAATATGTGGTTTAATAAACAAAATGAAAACTATGAGTGAAACAATATAAAAAAAATACAAGACTAACTTTAAGAAAATATTCAGAATGTAGTAATCTAGGATTTTTTTTTCTTCAAGTGCCTTTATTAGGACAGGTAATTTTACCATTGAAAGGGCTAAATTAGTGAAGAATATATTATAGGATTTTCTGACTTTATTTGAAAAGTTGCTTGTTTTCATCCTTAGAATTTTCACTGAATCAGACTTGTGTTTGTTATTAAGTAGTATTATCACATCAATTTCCAAGACTTTTTAAAAATTTTGAGTTGTCACTTGTTTTTAAATCCTATTAGAGTTGATCTTTCAAAATTTTTATCTTAATTGCTTGTTATATTACAGACATTTTCTTTTTAAATGTTTTTCTGTTGACCAGTTTGTGGATATTGTGTTTTACTTTATTGAACCATAGAGCTCTGACCTTTTCTAATAACAGTAAAATGTTTTTTCTTTCTTTTTAAGACCATAAGCATTATTTAACTCAATTATCTTAACTTTTTGTTTCTGTTTTTCAATGTTTTCTTTCATTCTTTTTTTAATGTCTATTTATTTTGCATGTACGTGTGCACCAGTGGGGGAGGGGCAGAAAGAGGGAGGGAGAGAGATTCCTAAGCAGGATCCTCGAGTGAGCCTGATGTGGGGGCTGATCTCATGACCATGACATCATGATGTGAGTTGAAATCACAAGTCAGACACTTAACTAACTGATCCACTCAGGCACCCCAATTTTTTTATTAAGGATTCTTTAGATGAAAAATTAAATAGTCAATTAAAAAAAACTGGTTGATTTAAAAACTTTACCCTATAAAAATATTAACCACAAAGGAGGCATCTTTGTGCTCTTTAACTAAGTAATTCTAGTTTCACAGTAATGCCTTCAAGAGTTTTTCATGAAATTCTCATGAGGTACAATTTAGTCTTTGGCTGAAGCATTGATTTTTCAATGCCGTCTTACAGGGAGGCTCTGAGGGCTTCTCTGTGAGTCTGGCTCAGAGATTATGGAGTTAGAATCTGCCATTTTATTCTGATATTCTCTTGCTTAATTTACTATCATGACAATGAAAATTCTGTTTTGAAAATGCAGGATTCAGACTCGGCAGTCTTTGGTAAGCCTCATCTATTTCCTTTCATTTCTTAGTTTCTAGAATTCCAGTTGCCTAGGTTAGTATTATCATAAGATGGACCATTACTCTGTAATTTCTGGTTGTGATATGGCATTACTACAGGATCCTCTATTTTTTCTGGATCTTGATATCCAACTATGCTTTTTATGTTATAAAATTTCTAGATTGATACATTCAGGGGCAGATTTCCCATGAATCTTAATCTTCAGGGCCCTCACTTGAGTGGATGTCTTTCAAAGTTCTGTACCTAATTTTGTTTTATAATTTTATATTATTTTCTTTAAAGAAGGTCCCTAAAATTGTATAAGCTTTAGGCTCTACAACACTTGGATTAGCCTCTGGCCATTCCTAAGTCACTGAAACTGGAAGAAAAGCAATAACAAAGATATACCTGGACCTTCAAAAACTTACTCAAGGTATCTGGGAGTGCCACAAAGTCTTTACTCATGGACTAAAGGATCTGGACAACTATGCTAACTAGTAGGACTGTGTATCTAGAACCAGATGCATGACTGAAGATCGTGAAAGCATCAGAGTAGAGTTTCATTTCATTTATTTATTTATTTATTTATTTATTTATTTAACATAGTTTATTGTCAAGTTGGTTTCCATATGTCACCCAGTGCTCACCCCAAGTGTCCTCCTCCATGCGCATCACTCCTTTCCCCCTCTCCCCCCCCCACATCAAACCTCAGTTCTCAGTAGTTAAGAGTCTCTTGTGGTTTGCTTCCCTCCCTCTTCTTAACTATTTTCCCCCCTTCCCCTCCCCTATGGTCTTCTGTTAAGTTTCTGCTGTTCCACATAGGAGTGAAAACATATGGTATCTGTCTTTCTTTGCTTGATTTATTTGACATAACACCCTCAAGTTCCATCCATGTTGCTACACATGGCCAGATTTCATTGTTTCTCATGGCCATGTAGTATTCCATCGTATAGATAAACCACATCTTCTTGATCCATTCGTCCGTTGATGGACACTTAGGCTCTTTCCATGTTTTGGCTATTGTTGAGAGTGCTGCTATGAACATTGGGGGTACATGTGCTCCTATGCCTCAGCATTTCTATATCCCTTGGGTAAATTCCTAGCAGTGCTATTGCTGGGTCATAGGGGAGTTCTGTTGTTAACATTTTGAGGAACCCCCCACACCCCTACCGACAGTACAGGAGAGTGCCCGTTTCTCCACATCCTTGCCAGCATCTATAGTCTCTTGATTTGTTCATTTTAGCCACAGAGTAGAGTTTTAGAGGCTTGTAGTTCTCGACTGAGTTCTGTATTGTAGATTTCAGACTTTTGGTGCAGTTCTCTTAGAAAAGTGGGTAATTTCAAACATAAGGAAATTTTTGTGGCATGTGAAATCTCACTTTTTAATTTATGTTTTGTATGTTCCCCATACCCAGGGCAACAGTGTGTGTCTTCTTCAATTTCTCACCATTGTTTTCCTCCCATGAGCCACACCTGTCCCTATCTTAACTGATGAGACTACCTGATGAGAAGGCTCACGTATTATATGTGTAACATGGAGTCTTCACGTTTCCTTGTTGTATGGGAGGATAAAAAAGACCATGCAAGTTGAAATGATGTAATACGATCTTAATACTCAGTGGAAACATTTATAATTATTCTGTGACCTTTAAGAACATCAGTCAAAACATTAAGAACTCTCTTACTGTTGATTATAAATGGAGGGAAATGCAGATAATAGTAAAATTAATATTTAGCACACTGATTTAGAATGTAAGAAATACTGAGAATTAAAGTGTTTCATTTCTTTGTAAAAAACGATCACAAATCACTTGAGTAATACTTGCCTGCTTGTAATATAGCATGACATGAAGAGAGATTTTTTTTTTTCTCTTAGTAAAGGCTCATACTCCTTCGTAAGTCTGTATCAACCTCAACTATTTCATCCTTGTACTCTCACTATTGTGAACTCTCTCCTAGAGCTCTTTTAATGTGGATTTCTTTCACTGGCATCACTTCCTCTGGGAAACTTTGATCCTTTTTGTCACAACCACTTTCCTGACTTATGTTGACAAATTCACCTGCCCTCTGTTCCTCTGGTTGCATATCTAGAGTCTCTCTGCCTTTTTTTTTTTTTAAAAAAAAGTTTATTTTGAGAGAGAGAAAGAGAGAGAGCGAGTGAGCAAGCAAATGAGTTGGGAAGAGGCAGAGAGAGAGAGAGAGGGAGAGAGAGAATTCCAAGAAGGCTCTGTGCTGTCAGTGCAGGGTCTAGTGTGGGGCTTGATCTCACAAACTATGAGATTGTGATCTGAGCTGAAATCAAGAATTGGACACTTAACTGACTGAGCCACCCAGGCCCCCTATAATCTCTCAAGTGACAGCAGTGTCAACACACCCACAGTCGTGTTTCATCTATACCTTCATGTATGTTCAATTTGAATGTCACTTCCAGCATTATTATTTTTCCTATCTTTGATGGTCAATCTTAGATAGCTAATTCCTGATTTTGATGATCCATTTTTGTAAAATGTCATGTGGATTTATTGCTGAGAGCCAAGGAGGCAACACTTAATAACAACACTGGGCATGAACTTAATAACAGACGCACCGTGACCAATGCTGAGGAGCTTTGAAAGCAGTGATGTGATTGGTTACTGATTATTATGTGTATCTCTTATTCGTAGTGATTTGTAGGCTGAGGAGCTAGCAGCAAAGCTTATATTTTATGCAGCCGTTTACAGTTAATATATTATGATAACAGAAATTTGAACCATGCTGTTGGGAAACTGGATTTATTTAACTAAACTGTAGTAACTGAAATCTGTGCCTGTAGGAACTATGTAAATTGATAACTCTCTCTCTCTGTATGTTTGAAATAACTTCTAAACCTAGTTTTTAGCCAGAAGTTTATCAAGATTAAAACATTGTTTCAATAATTTAGTTTCTCTTGTGGAAGCAACATTTTATTTTGTAACTAAAGATGAATACTTAATCAAAAAAGGCAGCTATGTGATTTTATGTAGCATTTGAAAAGCAACACAAAACTTAAATGAGTTTTTTTTTCCAGTTTTATGTACGGAGAATTGACTGACAAGAAGACCATTGAGAAAGTGAGGCAGACTTTTGACAACTACGAGTCAAATTGCTTTGAAGTTCTTCTGTACAAGAAAAACAGTATGTATCTAAATTATCAATAAGTTGTGTCAACTCTGATTTATGTTATGTTTTGGTTAGTGGTAGGTGAGCTGTAGTGTAGGGAGAATATAAAACATTGTTCCTTCTTTTGGCAAAGGCAGGGTGTGCTGATAAAATTAGATAGCAAAACTAACAAATGATTCTACCTATGGAAAGCAACCAGGAAAATATGGTACGGGGTGTGTGTGTGTGTGTGTATGTGTGTGTGTGTGTGTGTATGGGCAAAATGTTTTGTGATTAATACTCATGGTAAAGATCCTGTAGTTACATGACAGCAACTAAAAATTACAGAGAAATCCATTCATTTATGCTTATGGTTAAAGGAAAAGGCCATTGTTATCACTGAGTATGTGTGATTATCTTTTTACATGTGCATGGATAACCTGTGATATCTCTTTGAGGTTAGTCTTTACCAATATGACCTTTTGCTAGACTTTCACTCTTGTGTGTGGAAGGCTTACAGATGTAGTCACTACCTTCAGAATAGGCCATTCCCATCTGGTAAATTTGTACTGATTATGGTGAGCTGTTCTCTAGGACAGAATTTGTGAGTGATCAGTTGTGCATTATATAATCACATAAGACTCCATGATATGGACTCTTTCAGAGTTTGGAGGAAAAAACCAGCCAAACAAAAATCAACTAGTATACTCCATAACCAAGTTTCCTTCCTCCCTCCCTCCCTTCCTTCCTTCCTTCCTTCTGAGAGAATGAGAATATGAGTGGGGGAGGGGCAGAAAGAGAAGGAGACACAGACTCCAAAGCAGGCTCCAGACTCTGAGATGTCAGCACAGAGCCTGATGTGGGGCTCAAACTCTTGGAGCTTGAGATCATGACCTGCGCTGAAGTTAGCTGCTTCACTGACTGAGCTATCCAGGTGCCCTACCAACTTTCGTTTCTAATTTGTTTTCTTTGCATAGTCTGGTTACTTTTATTTCTTTTTCCCAAATTTACCTTTTTTTTTTTTTTAAATGAACAGTTACTTCCTACAATGGGTCAATTTATTTACTATTATTGATAAGTGATAGCAAAGCCAATTGTTATTTTAGTGGAAGTTGATGGTCACTAAATTCTTCCCCAGTTTGGGAAGCATTTTAGCTTTAACAGGAAATACTTGTTCCATTTTCACAGCTGGTTGAAGTGTTTGCAGCATAATTCATTCTCTCCATCTTACCTCAAACATTTAGTCACTTTAAATTATTTAGAATTAAACTTAGGTTTCTCTTTTTATCAATGGGTCATCAAAAGGAAAATAGCAACCACAGGCATTGCTTTAAAATTAGTGTACCGGGTAATGGGAATGTTGGTTTTCAATGGTTTTCCCTATGGAATGTGTTAACATTTTATCTTTCATTTTAGAATCAAGGCCAGAGAGGTATTTCTCGTTAGTCTTAGCCAAATGTCTGTTGGGTTGTCACCTAGAATCCATTCTGAATGATCTGCTCTGTCCTCTACCAGAGAAAAGTCAAGCTCAAGGTGCTTTCTGGGTCTTTTTCACCAGGTCCAGATATGTGTTGATAATTTATAGTAGGCCCATATGCCCCCCTGCAATCATTTTCATACAAGGTTGTTATCCTTTGAAGACTCAGATATGTGCCCTGAGTTTAGCAACTAACTTAAGTATACTCCATATTACTAAAGTCATTAAGTCATAAAGAAGAATAAACAAATCTTTGCCTGATTTTAAAGCATGAATGCCAAGTTCACAGTTTCTGAGTTTCTCAAAAATATCTTTGTGGATGGGGATTCTGTTTTCTTTATATCCTTTAAATCATGTTAGCAACAACTTGAATTTTACATTCCCAAAAATTTCCTTCCCTGGTAATTTTCTGCTTTACTTTAATGGTTTGAAATTCTCTGATTTGCATTGAGTTTTTTTTCTCTAATATGAAGGATAGATATCATTTATGTCTTTGTATAGAGTTCTCTTTCACTTAAAGCAGCTTTAAAAAATCTTGCAAATTATTATCTGAAGGATCTTGACCAACAAGATACTGAAAAAAGTATGTGCTTGTAACTTTTTAAAATGTTAGAAAAATTCACATGTCTGTGGATAAATGTTTTGGGAATGCCTGAATGCCAACTCTTCCCAACACTTCCATTAAGTAATCAGGTTAAACAGCACTTTGCAAATAAGGGGACTGAGGGATTTGATTGAACACGTGTCATCATTGACATTTCACTTTGTAGGCTCTATTTTTAAGGTCCATTGCTCTGGTCAGCAGGGGACTGTTTCTACTCTTGAGAAGAAAACAGTGGCTCTGGGATGATGATTTAAATGAATCTTTCTGTCTGCAAGAAGGGAGACCTGTGATGGCTTGGGCTGCTCCAGATAATCAATGCCAAGGCATTGTCCTGGGTTTCCATCTACAACTGTCCTCTCTGTCTAACCCTGTTAGACTTCCTGCTTCCTTGAACCCCAAAACCAGAATATGGATATTTTACTAGCCACATCTCCTGTCTACTTGGGCCATCTCACCCTGTAGCTCAACTTGAAGAAAAAAAAAATCTACCTTCATATCTGAACGTAATTTTAAAAACAGCCCTGACTCTATGCTAAAATTTGAAAAGTTGCTGTTTTTATAGGAAGTTGGGAAATGTAACATCATCTCTTTTCAAATTTTTAACAGACCTAGGAAAATGACATATTTTTAATGCCCTTTTCTCTCTGTTTATGACCCTGCTGCTTCAAGCTCATTGTGTTGGAACAGCCGTAGGCCATGTATCTGTGAGCATGTGTTTCCGGTGATTTGTAAAACTTCGTACATCACTCACAGTTTTTGGGTACACTGTGTAGAATAAGAAGCAGAAAATAAAGAACAAGTCTGTCTGGGGGATGGTGTGATGGCTTCTGAGATCCCTGTGTTACCCACTGGTCATTTTGGAAAGGGCCATATTTTTCCAAAGGCTCAGGGTTGCAAAGGACCTGAACTGAATATTTCATAAAATTTCCCTCTCTCTAATTCTCTGATTTCTTGAGCCTGATAGTTAAGCTATCTTGTCTTGTCTAGATGACACATTCCCCTTTGTGGTGACATTATTATGTGACTTTTTTTTGGCCAAAGCTATGAAGGTTTTCCCTATTTGGTTTTCAACGCAAGCCACTAATAGGCTATCAATTCTCACGTAGAGGCTATTAATAGCTGCGTATTTCACTCCCCAAATCCCAAACCTAACAAAAGCCTCTATGTCTTTAAGATAGGAAACTTGGAGAGGCTTTACTGCGTGATGGGTGGTCTAGAAAGACTATGATGCAAACTGTGTCTTTTTGATTTTGATGGAACATTCCTTCAGTGTTTTATTGTTCAATGGGTAATTACTCCTTTGAAGGCATTTCTTGTGTCTTCAAATATTTATTATTTGAAGTAATGCCAGTTCCTGGTTTGTCCAAATGCTGAGACTTAAGTGCTCTGAAACTCTTTGTTTTGTGGAGGCTGCAGAAGCCATTGTTTAAAGAACATAGCGACAGGGTCAAACCTCATTCTTTGAGTGAAGGTTATAGGAAGCTGTGGCTCATAAAGAAACCTGAGAATCTCAAGGGTTGGGGACATGTCTTTTTTTTTTTTTCCTTGATTGCATTATAAGTTCCAAGTAGAGCTCTGTGTACAACGGTCATCAAGTAGTTCTGATGTCCTCTGTCTCTGATTTAGAGGTGCTGTCAAAGGCATAGAGCCATCGTGTAACTGACTGATGAGAGAAACTTGAGACAGGAATAGTGTTTCAAATGTTCCTTGGAGAGGACTGCCTATCAGGGCATCAGGGATTTCTGTTGAAGTCAGTTGGAAACACTTCTCAAAGTGACAAGGAGATGCACGTAGGAGTGGTCATGCATGGGGAGACTATGAAAAGGGATTTGGTGAGAGAAGCGGGGATGTAGGGACACAGACCCTAAGGTAATACTGGCGTTACCTTAAGTAGTGAGACTGCCATTGTGCTCCTGCGTTGTGAAATGACACCCTCTGCTCTGCTTTCAGATTTTGGGTTGAAAAATGTTTATTAATATTTGAACAACTGGTAGTTGCTTGATTCGGAAAGCAATAAAAATACTGTTGTTTTGGTGCTGGTTCCTGGCATAGCAGTTGGCAGCCAAAGGAAGGGAGAAGGCAGGAGACCAAAGCACTGCTGTGGATCTGTCACACTCTGTTGTCCTTTCTCTCTCTTACAGGAACCCCTGTTTGGTTTTATATGCAAATTGCACCAATAAGAAATGAACATGAAAAAGTGGTGTTGTTCCTATGTACTTTCAAGGATATTACATTGTTCAAACAGCCAATAGAGGATGATTCAACAAAAGGTAATTTCCAGAGTGATGCTACATTTAGGAATTAGGCTGTCAATTATAAATATTGTTATTATTATTATTATTTAGAAAGATACATTGGTTGAACTGGAAAACACAATTTTACTATGTAATACTTCCTTTGCTTTACATTCATGCTAGCAGTTTATCCATAATCAATTTTATCCAATCATATCATTTGAATGGAAATAGCATGGGTTTCCAAAGTTGAAATGAGAATTGATGAACCTAAATTATAATAAGAGGAATTTTCATAGACCATTATTAATTTAGAATCAATATAATGGGATCAAAAACTTCTACCAGAATGAGCTTTAGAAATACAAAATTTAACAACCTTTGGGATGGTTTAGGTGAAGTCTTTTTACAGCACAGTTGATTAGTTGATTGAATTTGGTTGAATTGATAAGTGATTGATTAGTTGATTTTTTTCAGGTTACTTATCATTCTTTACCCATTCAGCTGTTGTAGATACTCTTGGGTATCTATAAGAGTAGATTATGTGAAGATAATTTGTTATCAAGTGAGTGGCTGGCAAAATGCAAACATCCTGACTATAGTCTTAGTATAATATTCAGGGAGATGGCTATAGAAAGCAGTAGTCATTGGCATGTACATGTATCCCCTTTTCTAGGTAACATATTCTCATTTTGTTCCCTCTAATTATGTTTAAATTAAAAACTGGTGTCATATAAATGAAGAATTTCAAATATTCTTAGAAGTTTTTATGAAATGTTATTTTTAATCCCTTTGGAGGTTGAAAATGAAATCTTCTTTGTATTTGGCAAATATTGTCTTCCTGTCCTTAAAAAAAAAACTGGCACAGGAATTTAATCTTTTTAACTGTAATCATAATTATAGAAAAATTTTATACTTCTATTCCTTGCATATGGAGTCACATATATTGTATTATACCTGGTCAATTTCTGGTTAGTACCAAATTGCAAGAGGAAAATTTTACAATGTGCAAACCATTTAAAGTATAACAGGTCAATTTATTTGCAAATGTTTCTGAAAATGTGTGTATTAAATGATCTCCTGGTAGATTGAATATTTACTTTTGGACTCACACTACCTGTTCCTCTACTTTTACTCAGAGATTCAGTGTCTATGAGGTTTAGGATAAATTTAAATACTATTTTTAAAGATTGAATAGTTTTCTAATGGTATTTAGGTTTAATGCTTATTTGTTTTAAAATTCTGAGGTGCTCCATCCAATAGCCATAGAATATGTGTTCTCAAGCTTACATGGAACATCCACTAGAGAGATCACATTCTGGCCATAAAACACACCCTGACAAATTTAAAGAATGGAAAGCTTAAAAAGGCATATTTTTAGACCACAATGGAATTAAACGATAAATCAATAACAGAGAGCTAAGAAATCTCCAAATATTTGGAAATTAACACATTTGTAAATATCCCATGGGTCAAAGAGGGCTTAAGGTAAATTAAAAAACTATTTGGACTGAATGAAAATGAAAATACAAATTATCAAATTTATGGGATGCAGCAAAAGTAGTTGTTAAAAGAAAATGTATATAACATTAAATGCTTATACAAGAAAAGAAGAAAGATACAAAATTAATAACCTAAGCTTCCACCTTAGGGAGACAAAAAAAAAAAAAAGCAATTTAAACCAAAGCAAGCTGGAGACAAGAAATAAGAAAACTTAGAGCAGAAATCAATGAAGTATAAAATAGGAAAACATTAGAGAAAATCACCACAACTCAAAGCTGGTTCTTTGAAAAGATCATCAAAGTTAATAAACCACTAACCAGGCTAAGCGAGAACAAAGGGAGAAGATACAGGTGACCAATATCAGAAATTAAAGAAGGGCCATCACAGCTCATCCCAAGGACATCAAAGCATTATAGAAGAATACTTTGATCAACTCTAGAGCCACTGAATTGATAATTTAGGGGAAATGAACCATTTCTTTGAAAAACAAACTGCAAAAACTCATACTGGGAGAAATAGATAACCTAAGTCATTCTATATCTATTAAATAAATTTAATCTATAATTAACAAACTGCCAAAACCAAGGATATTTTGGTTTTTTATTTTTTATTTTTTGTTTTTTTTGTTTTGGAAAATCTGCAGTCTTTTCCGGAAAATAGAAGCAGAGAGAGCTCCCCTAACTCATTCTGTGAGGCCAGCACTACCCTCATACCAAAGCCAGATAGAGACACTGTAAGAAAAGAACATTACAGACTAATATTTCTCATGAATATAGATATAAAAACCCTTAATAAAAATTGAGCCCACAGGAAAATCAAGTGGGATCTATTCCACATATGCAAATCTGGTTCAACATGAAAAAATCAATCCCTGTAATCTACCACTTCAACAGGCTGAGAAAGAAAGATTGTATCATCATATTATTCAACATAGGACAAGCATGATGATGAAACATTCATGGTAAAAACTCTTAGTAAAGTAGGAATAGAGAGGAACTTCCTCAACTTGATAAGGAACATTTATGAAAAACCTATAGCTAACAGCTGACTATATCTTAAAATAATATGTTTTTAAATAAAAAATAATTGGTATACGATTTATGACCTAACATATTCTTCAGATGAATATTTTCTTGCCTTCACACTGAATACAGAATATACAGTGTATACAGAGTATAAAAATTTCATGTCATAGTCTTTTCCCTTAAACAATATTTATATTTATGTTTATGTTCAATTAATATTATTTTATCTCACTTTTTTAAGAGTGATTTAATGACCCAGCTGAAGTTGGGGAGAGTATGGTACATTCTCAGTTTTGGCCTGCTGAACACTGATGGTGTCAGTATATTTAGTCTATTTATAGAAACTGAAAGTTGATGGCATTTAAAGTGAGATTGGGGAAAAGGTGCTAATATATAGAGTTGACTTTTCTCAAATTAATGCCCTTCCATTTATCTGTCTACACCTCCATCCTTACATTGTATCCTTACATTGGAATCAGAGTTCTTCTTCTGGTAAAATCTCTTAACTGCGTAACTCATTCTTATAAAAAAAAATGGCATTTGAATAAATGCCAAATAACTTAGACCTTTTGATTTTGAACTATGTGCCAGATAGGTATGTAAATTAGAGTTTAGAAGGGAAATCAGACTCCACTGTGAAAAGCATTAGAGAAGACTGTCTCTTTCCAAGGCCTGAATCTGTAGAGGAAGAGCTTATTTTAAGCAGACTTTTATTTTGAGACTCTTGCACACCTTTCAAATACATAACAGATTATTGAAAAAGTAATGTGCAATGTAACTATGAATGTTGTATATGAGCTACTTTCTATTATTCATATGAGCTGTAAAATTAATATGAAAAATTCAATAGAAATAAAATATTTATGTCATTAAATAATCATCCTGCTATCTCTATGAGGGTAGAAGCTTAGGAAAGTATGTTTGGAAATCTTGGCAGAAGAATATGTCTCTTAAATTCTTAAGTTTAGTAAAGGGGACTATGGAATTTTTAAGCAAGTGCAGATGAAATTTCGTGATAATACCATAATATCAAAATTTGGGTGTAATGCATTAAACTGGGAGATGGTAGATTTACTTTTAATTCAGCCTTGGGCACCAGAATTTTTTTTTCTTATCTTTTCTTTTCTTTTCTTTCTTTCTTTTTTTTTTTTTTTTTTTACAAATAGTTTATTGTCAAGTTGGTTTCCATATAACACCCAGTGCTCATTCCCACAAGTGCCCCTCTCCGTGTCCATCCCCTCCCCCCCTCATCCATCAGTCCTCAGTTTTTGTCAGCATTCAAGAGTCTCTCATGGTTTGCCTCTCCCCCTTTCCCCCACTATTTCCCCCCTTCTTCTCCCCCATGGTCCTCCGTTAAGTTCCTCCTAATCCTCCTATACGTGCAAACATATGATATTTGTCCTTCTCTGCCTGACTTATTTCGCTCAGCATAACACCCTCAAGGTCCATCCATGTTGCTACACATGGACGGATTTCATTCTTTCTCATTGCCATGTAGTATTCCATGGTATAGATAAACCACATCTTCTTGATCCATTTATCCTTTGATGGACACTTAGGCTCTTTCCATGTTTTAGCTATTGTTGAGAGTGCTGCTATGAACATTGGGGTACGTGTGCCCCTATGCATCAGCATTTCTATATCCCTTGGGTAAATTCCTAGCAGTGCTATTGGGCACCAGACTTTCTTTTTTTTTTTTTTAATATTTTTATTTATTTCTAGGAGAGAGAGAGAGAGACAGCGTGAGCAGGGGAGGGTCAGAGAGAGAGGGAGATACAGACTCTGAAATAGGCTCCAGGCTCTGAGCTGGCAGTCAGCACAGAGCCCGACGTGGGGCTCGAACCCACGAACCGCGAGATCATGACCTAAGTGAAAGTCGGACGCTTAACCGACTAGGCCACCCAGGCGCCCCGGGCACCAGAATTTCTTAATGTGAGACTTTTCATGACTCTTCACAGGAAAATTTAGTTTGCCTTTTTATCTATTTTGCCAATTTTCCCCCCAACCAAAAATGCTGATTAAGCACACAGAATGCTCCAGGCACTATTCTGTGTCCTGAAGATACATAGTTTCTTCCCTCACATCCTAATGGGGGAAGGGGAGACAAACAAGTAAATATAGATTGGAAGGTTTCTTCTGATCGCTCTTATTTTCTCAGTAATATAAAACACATGATTCTCACCTGAGAGTAAGGATGGTGAAGGAGATGAAGTATTGAAGATTTGGGGAGAGAGGAGTAGGCATGAAACAGTGATCTAAGAGAGTGGAGAAGTGAGTGGGCAAGGGGAATGGAACAGGTTTGCTGAACACTAAGGTCTGCTTGGGGCTAGCAACTGCTGAATTCCACCAGCATCCTTGAGCATGATTGTATGTTTTACTCCCCCAATGTTTAGTCAAAGTTGTATGGATGCAGAAGTAATGAAGAGTTGGATATAACCAGAGTTGGGATTTGGTGAGGTGAGTAAAATGAAAAGACTCAGACAGAGGATTAGGGAGTTGAGGCTGTTG